ACACCCCTCACACGCTTCTTGACCCCATAGGGAGCTCCACCGAAGCCCACAGGAGCAGGTTTTGCAAGAGGGTTCCAACCCTCACACGCTTCGTGGCCCTGTAGGGAGCTCCACCGAATCCTCCAGAGCTCCGCCGAAGCCTCCAGGAGAGGGTTTTGCATGTGGTTCTTCTCACCCCTCACACGCTTCGTGGACACATAGGGAGCTCCACCGAAGACCCCAGGACGAGGTTTTGCATGTGGTTATCAACACCGCTCGCACGTTTCGCGGCCCCATAAGGAGCTCCCACCGAAGCCCCCAGGACGGGGTTTCGCATGTAGTTATCAGAGCCCCTCACGCGCGTCGCGGCCCCATGGGGAGCTCCATCGAAGCCCCCAGGAGGAAGTTCTGCATGTGGTTCTCCACACCCGTCACATGCTTCGTGGCCCCAGCAAACCTCCACCGAAGCCTCCAGGACGGGGTTTTGCATGTGGCTCCCAACACCCACAGCACGCTTCGAGCTCCTCTGCAGCCTCCAGGAGAGGGTTTCGCATGTGGTTCCAAACTCCTCACACGGTTCGCGGCCCCATAGGGAGCTCCACCGAAGCCCCAGGGAAACCCCCAGGACGGGGTTTCGCATGTGGTTCTTTGAGCCCCTCACGCGCTTCGTGGCCCCATGGGGAGCTCCACCGAAGCCACCAGGAGAAAGTGTTGCATCTGGCTCTCCATACCCGTCACACGCTTCGTGGCCCCAGCAGAGCTCCACCGAAGCCTCCAGGACGGGGTTTCACATGTGGCTCCCCACACCCACCACACGCGCGGGTGGGGCACGGGGTGTATTTAATAAGGAAGTGTGTAATTTGGGATTCCCAGATCCCAATCTACTTCAAGCGCCTTCCTACTTCAAGCATCGACACGCTTTTGCTGTGTTTTGTTATTAATCGCGTCGCTCATTCCGCCGGCCCTGGAGCGCTATTTGGGGCCTCTTGGGGCCGTCTTGGGGGCCTCTTGGAGTTTTCTTGGGAGCGTCTTGGGGCTCCTTGGCGGCGTCTTGGGCTCCCCTGGGGCCTCTTGGGGGGCTATTGGGGGCCCCTTGGGGCGAGAGGGGGGTAGTCTATTGCAGCCACCCCCTCGGAGGCCACGATCCTCGTGAGAGGTGGCGAAAAATAGCCTCCCCTCTGGGGATCGCTAGGGCCCCGGCGGGGGGTCAGCCGGGGTATTTTTCGTCCGGGTGCCCCCAGGGGCCGCCCCGCGCGCGCGAACTAGAAATATTGTGAAGTAGTTACCGGAGATCTTAGCACGCCTCTGGCCCAATTCTCTGGGGGGGGCCTGGACCGAATCAACTTAATCCGCTTTCCTACTTCATGTGTCTACCTACTTCTTCCGACCGACGTGTATTTTAATAAGGAGCAGTGATGAACTCCTTCCCGAAGAGGGAGAGGGAAGATGGAACAGGGAACGCCCCAGACCACCTCCGCCCAGAGGGCCGGGGGGACTGACCGGTCCTCGGCATGCACAGGTTTGGACTGTCCTGCTCGATGGATTTTCCTGGCGCGATTCTTAAACAACATTGCCGGTCGGGCCGCTTATGATGAGGGTGCTGTTCTCCACGCAGACTTGCCTATATGGATCCCAGCTCAATGCGTAGAGATTTGGTGCACGAGTTCCCACACACACACACACACACACACACATACACAAACACACACACAAACAAACACACACACACACACACAAACACACACACACTCGATTTTGTTGTTGCAGTCGTCAAGCTATCCGCATGGCTTCCTGTGTACCCGCATGGTTTTCTTTGCTATCCGCACGGCTTCCTCTGTATCCGCATGGCTTCCCCTGCCATCCGCCCAACTCCATCTGTATCAACATGGTTCCCTCTATCTCCGCATGGCTGGCTCTGCCATCCGCATTGTTTCCTTTGTATCCGCATGGCTTCCTCTGCTATTTGATTGGCTTCCAGTGGCTGATCCAATGGCGTCCCAACAATCGCCCAACCATCGTCAAAGTCATAAGTAGAACAGAGCAGAGTAGAGCCTAGGCTTTAGTAGACTCGACTAGACTAGAGCAGAGAAGAGTTGAGCAGAGCAGAGCAGGAGTAGCAGGAGGAACTGCATGAGGCAAATTAGCCAGGTCGAGCGAGTCAGAGGACCCCGCCCATCCCCACCCCCCCTCCCACAGCGTGAGAATCATGTGTGGCACAATTTGGTATTGGGATTGGAACGCGCTCCCACCTCACAATCGGAAGGCGCTCGCGCGCAGCCCCGCTTCCGACGCCGGGGCGACAAGCAAACTACCTGGGCCGCGCGGGGGCGGGGGCTCCAAAACTTCCGATGGGCGCTGAGCAGACAAAGCATACGCCGCTTTGGCACCGCATTGCCACCTTCACTCACAAACGCCCCGGCGACTGCGCGAGGTTGGCATTTGGCCCGCTCTCGCGCAGGTAGGAGCAGAGTTGAGTCAGCCAGGCCGAGCGAGTCAGAGGGCCCCGCCTGCTCCCACCTTACCACCGACAGCATCAGAATAGATTGTGGCACGGCTTGATTTCGGGACTGGAACGCGCCCCCGCTTCGGAAGCGGAAGGCGGCCGCGCGCGGCCCCGCTTCCGACGACCTGGCGGAGAGAAAACGAAAGGGGCGGGGGGGGGGGCACACAGATGCCGCTGGGCGCGGCGGAGACGAAGCGTGCGCCGCGCTGACACGGCACTGCCGCGTTCACTCACGAACCGCGCGACGCTTGGGCGAGGTCGGCATGCCGCCCGCGCTCGCGCGGCCCCGCCGCCGCTGCCGTTCGCCCTGCGCCGCGCCCGCGGTGGAGCGCCACCGTCCCGCGACAAGGCGCACGAAGCCCGGGCGAGGGCGACGAGTCGCCTGCCCTCGCGCGGTGCCCCGCGCAAATTTTTGTGCGGGTGCAGGAGGCGCGCCGCGTCGCAGCGGGAGCGCCACATTTCGGTCGAGATCTGCACGGTGCCGACGCGGAAAAACCGCAGTTTCGCCCGCCCGCGGTCGACGAAAGCGCGCGCGAAGACCGCGCGCCGCGCCCCGGCGGGAGCCCAACTCTGGAAAAAAAACGCGCGCGGCGCCGAGGCGGGGGCGGCGTTCCGGCGTGTCGCGCAGGATGTGCGCCCTGTCTCACTCCTGCCACGCATTTTGCAACATGGACGACGGAATGCCCAAGTTTGGACGAGAAACATGTAATGTACGTTTTCCGCAGGCAGGATGGAACCACCCGGATCCCTCCCCGATCGGCCGCTTTTGCGGCAGAGTAGGCGGGTATACCAACGAGAAGCATGGATGGAGTAGAGTAGGTTAGGGTAGGGTGGAACAGGGTAGAGTAGAGCAGACAAGGGTAGAGTAGAGTTGCGTAGATGGTAGAATAGAGACGGTAGACTAGGGTTGAGTAGAGCAGAGTAGAGTCGAGTAGAGTATAGAAGAGTAGATGAGTAGAGTATGGCATAATACAACAGAGCAGAACAGGATAGAGTGTATTAGAGTTGGGTAGCGGAGAATAGAATAGAGCAGCATAGGGCAGAGCAGCGTAGAGTAGACAATGGTTTGCTAGAGTAGAGTATCGTAGAGTAGAGTAACATATATGCTAGTGGAGCAGGAGCAGAGTAGAATAGGGCAGAGTAGAGTCGAATAAATTAAGGTAGGTAGGGTATAATTGGATAGGGTAGAGCAGAGAAGAGTAGAGTAGGGTGGATGTGAGATTAGAGTCGGGCAGAGTAGGGCATAGTAGAGTTGAGTAGAGTGCAGTATGGTCCGCCCCAGCCCTATCCAGTGCACTTCAGTCCAGTCTGTTTCAGTCCGCTCCAGTCCACTTCAACTTTAGTCTTCTGGTACACTTGGAGTCTGCGCTGGCTGATGTTATGTTCTCTATTATGTTCCCCCTGCTAATTCTCCCCGTGCTCCCCTGATCGAGCTGTCTCTCCCCATGCTTCCCTGCCCCCCAGAGATTCCCCTCCTCCTGCCCCCCCCCACCACCATACCCCACCCCATCCAGCCCCCGTCAGGCCCGTTGTGGGGGCGCGTCCCTGACCTAGTCCCAAGTCCAAGCGATCCAGGCGACATCCCCCCTCCAGACCACATCATTTGCGCCCATGTGTTTTGCCTTCAGCTTTGTCTCTCTCTCTCTCTCTCTCTCGCCCTCGCCCCCCCCCCCCCCCCCGGCTCCCCCGTCAGGCCAGGGACCCCAGCCTGGCGGCCGCCGCCGCCTCCCAGGCGGCCCAGGTGGCCCAGCTGGCCGAGATCCAGCAGGCCGTCCTCCTGCCACCGCCCTTGCCCTGTCCTCCCCACGATTCCTGGGAGAGCGGAGGACGAGGGAGAAGGGTCAGGAAGGGAGGAGGAGGAGGAGGAGGAGGAGGAGGAGGAGGAGGAGGAGGAGGAGGAGGAGGAGGAGGAGGAGGAGGAGGAGAAGGAGGAGGGGGAGGGGGAGAAGAGAGAGGAGGAGGGGGAGGAGGAGGAGGAGAGAGGAGGAGGAGGAGGAGGCGGAGGAGGAGGAGGAGGAGGAGGAGGAGGAGGGGAGGAGGAGGAGGAGGAGGAGGAGGAGGAGGAGGAGGAGGAGGAGGAGGAGGAGGAGGAGGAGAGGAGGAGGAGGAGGAAGGAGGAGGAGGAGGAGGAGGAGGGAGGACACACGGAGAGGAGGAGGAGGAGGAGGAGGAGGAGGAGGGAGGAGAGGAGAGGAGGAGGAGGAGGAGGAGGAGGAGGAGGAGGAGGAAGAGGAGGAGGAGGAGGAGGAGGAGGTAGGAGGAAGAAGAGAGGAAGAAGAAGAGGAAGAAGAAGAGAAGAGAAAGAAGAGGAAGAAGAAGAAGAGGAAGAAGAAGAAGAAGAAGAGGAGGAGGAGGAGGAGGCGGAGGAGGAGGAGGAGCAGAGAGGAGGAGGAAGAGGAGGAGGAGGAGGAGGAGCAGGAGGAGGAGGAGGGGGAGGAGGAGGAGGAGGAAGGAGGAGGAGAAGGGGGAGGAGGAGGAGAAGGAGGAGGAGGAGGAGGAGGAGGAGAGGGAGGGCGTG